CGTGCATCGGGGGAACAGTGCATGAAAATGCATATGGATTTTTGTGAGGACTTCTTTAAAAAAGAATATTGAAGACTGATGTGGAAATGGGGTGAGTTGAACTTATGATTGGAAAATAAGACACTGAGACAAACTGAAATGGAAAGATTCTCCTATTCAGCACAGAGGGGGGCTCCCTCTGACACCCACCCTTTAGACTGAACCCTGGATTTCAGCCAAACTCTTTTGCCAGTTAACGTCAATCCTGATTTCTTCTTGTGCAAAATACAGTTCCTGGCCATCACTGGTCATATATCACTGGTCATATATCACCTATCTCTCTCTCTCTCTCTCTCTCTCTCTCTCTCTCTCTCTCTCTCCTCCCCAGTTCTAACAATGCCTGTTGTGGCAAAATATGAGGGGAGGGGGTTGGGGAGGGGTTGGACTAGATGACTCTCTGGGTCCCCTCCAACTCTATGATTCTATTGTTCTAAGAGGCTCGTTTGGCTGCTTCTTCGCAAGCTGGAAAGTGAGTGTGGAGGACAAGCGACTGAAGATGAGCGTGATGGAAAAGGGAGGGGGCCCCAGAGTTCATGCAACAGGCCAGGGTTGTCCGAATCAACCCCTTTCAATTTGGAGCTGCCATTTTGCTTGGTGATAGCATGACATTATATCCTTTGACTGGAACAGGTGTTGCTCCAGCAGGGAACCGGTATTTTATCACTGTTGCTTGATGTGGGTTATTTTTTTTTTATTAGTATTTTTTGAGTCTGGTAGTAATAGCTTCTATGACAGCGTTAAGGGCTTTAATGTCAGGATGTATCTAGGCATGAAACGATTCCATGTCATAAACCTCTGGCGAGGTTTAGTGCTGCTAAATGGAAGATCTAAAGGGATGATCATCCTTTATGCTTGCTGCTCCATTGCCATTGCTGGTCCAAGGCGATTGCAGGCAGACTTACAAATATTTTCCCACCGCACCCCCTTTTCTTTGTACTTTATTTCACCAAACCAGCCTCCGCCAACCTGGGGTTCCCCAGATGTTCTGGGCCACAGTTTCTATAACCCCACAGCATTTATCATGCTTCTTGGGGCTGATGGGAACTATAGTTCAGCAACACCTGGAGGGCACCAGGTTGGAAATGGCTGGTGCCAAATATGATCTCAATTAACTTTGGAGTGGGGCAGAGGGACTCCTCAGAGAGATTCTGTAATAATAGCCAAGTGGACCAGCTTCTTTAGAAAACCCATTAGCCTCTTGGGTTTCAGCCTGTTTCATTGGTATCACCCTTAAGAGGCAGTATAACAACAACAACAACAACAACAACAACAACAACAACAACAACTTTTTATTTATATCCCGCCCTCCCCAGCCGGAGCCGGGCTCAGAGCGGCTAACAGCAGTAAAAGTAACACAGCATACTAATATCAATCCAAAATCAAATGGCAACCACTGAGCCAGAGTTCTACGAGGATCACCAAAGGATGGTGTAGCGGCTAGCTAGTTGGCATTAGGCTACATCCACACCATCCATTGAAAGCACTATGATACCATTTTGAACAGTCCTGGCTTCCCCCCAAAGAATTCTGGGAGCTGGAGTTTATAAGGCTGCTGAGAGTTGTTAGGAGATGCCTATTTCCCCCTCAGAGCTACACTTCCAAGAGTTCCCTTGGGAGAGGGATTGAGAGTTAAACTACCGTATTTTTCGCTCTATAAGATGCACCAGACCACAAGTCGCACCTAGTTTTTGGAGGAGGAAAACAAGAAAAAAAATATTCTGAATCTCAGAAGCCAGAACAGCAAGAGGAATCTCTGCGCAGTGAAAGCAGCGATCCCTCTTGCTGTTCTGGCTTCTGGGATAGCTGCGCAGCCTGCATTCGCTCCTTAAGACGCACACACATTTCCCCTTACTTTTTAGGAGGTGAAAAGTGAGTCTTATAGAGCAAAAAATACGGTACTCTGGGAATTGTTCTGGGGAAGCCACGATAGTTAAACAGGCACCCAACCATTAAAAGGGAAGCAGTGAAAATAAGCTTCCACTCCTTGACAGCCCTGGGCGTTCCTGAGTTGCTCATTTATACTGGCATGGAGGGGAGACAGAAGGATTTCTTCTTGTGTTTAAAAAGCTGCAGCATGGCTGAGGTACTTAAAACACCCGGGTTTATCACACAAATTTGCCTCTGGGCAAGTTAAGATGGTGGGTAGCTGGGCTCCACACAGGCCCGTCTTACCCATTGAGGCTAGTGGCGCAGGGCGCCAAGTTCTGGAGGGTGCCAGGCGAGAGTCTGGGGAACACCGAACGAGCGCGCTGAGTGAGCGAGGGTGTGTGCGCCACTCCCACCAAGCATTGGCTCATTTCTCCCCCTTTTAGTCTGCAGGCGCCGAATTCTGCAGGGCACCAGAAGGCTAAAAGTGGGGAAAAATGAGCTGACACTTGGTGGGAGCGGCACACGTGCTCTCGCTCACTCAGCGCAGGCCCGCTCGCTCAGTGTGCCATCTGCCGTGGCCACCATGGAGAGCCAGTGTGGTGTAGTGGTTAAGAGTGGTGGACTCATAATCTGGTGAACCGGGTTTGATTCCCTGCTCCTCCACATGCAACTGCTGGGTGACCTTGGGCTAGACACACTTCTCTGAAGTCTATCAACCTCACTCATGTCACAGAGTGTTTGTTGTGGGGAAGGAAGGGAAAGGAGATTGTTAGCCACTTTGAGGCTCCTTCGGGTAGTGATAAAGCGGCATATCAAATCCAAACTCCTCCTCCTCCTCCTCCTCTTCTTCTTCTTCCGCCACTTCCCCACCGGAGGAGCCGCCCTCCAGCCACTGCCCGCCTCCTCCAGCCCTAAAAAAATGGTCAACTCTGGGTAAAGGGGGGGCACCTGAGGGATCTTTGCACCACGGTGCCAGATATGCTTAGGACAGCCCTGGATCCACACCAACCCTGTGCTTACCAGAGCACCCGGGCACTGAACTTACCAGAGTGCCCAGCTACTCTGTAAGCAAAGTTTAAAAAGGAAGAAAAAGAGGGAAGGGGCAGTGGATTCAGGGCCTCGTGTAACTGGGATTGGGACCCCACGGGCCACCCTCTTACAACCCTCCCATTAAAAGCAAAGGCACATTTTCTGTGGGACGTCAAACGTTAACAAAGCAAATACTTTCCTTTTCCTTGCCAAGGCAGAAAATGTGCTCGACTCAAGGAGGCGCCCAGCTGCTTATGCTTTCCAGAAGGATGTGTCTTGCTGGTGGGGCTGGATCCCCGCTTGGTGTAACCGCAGCCCTGCTGAGATTGGACGGAGCCTTGGCGTCCCGCTTGGAGAGGTGCCCTCTGCCAACCCCTCACCAATCCAATTCTCACTCTGTCTGATTGCAGTAATAACAACTTGCACAAATTTCCTGCCTCAACATGAAACCTCCTCCAGCTTCGCGATGCAAATAATATAATAGTGTGATGAGCAGGATGACGGAGGGAATAATAAGAATAATAATCGCCGTGATGTCTTTATTCAGGGAATGAATGAATGAATCAAGCAAAAATAAATGATATTCACAGACGGGGAAGGGGGGGCCCCGCGGTCCTGCTATATGTGTGGGAGAAAAGTGAGCAGCGGAACCAGAGGAAGTGAATCGACAGCCTTGCATGGGAAGAAGCATCCAGAGCCGAGCTGCTTATTAGACAACTGGGATCATTTGCCAGTTTGTGGAGGGAGGATGCAAGGAATGAAATCTAATTTATGACATGCTTGGTCACTCTAGAACAGACTTTCTCAACCTATGGGTCCCCAGATGTTGTTGAACAACAACTCCCATCACCCCTAGCTAGCAAGGCCAGAGCTCAGGGATGATGGGAGTTGTAGTCCAACAACATCTGGGGACCCACAGGTTGAGAACTGCTGCTCTAGAAGGTTCAAACACAAAACTGGGCAGGTTATGGGGTCTCCTGAAGTTCTGCATTGCCATCTTGGTTCCTGGATGGAATTAGGGACAACTGGGCAGCATTGTTGGACCTGTGCCAGCTGAGAACATGCCCAAGAGCCCTTTGTTACCATCAACAAACCAAAGGCGAGGTGAGGGATGGAAAGGGGATGTCGAAGGAAAGATGCCTGTAGCTGCATTGGGTCCAACAGCCACTACTGTCACTGAGAGGCTTCTTTCCATGGGGTGCCTTATTAAGAGCTGGGTGTGAGGCATTGGGGCTTAAACTGCTTCCCATCTCCAGTTGCTGGCATCTCCCTCTCTGGTCTTTTGTTTTCCTTTCTGCTCTGCTCCTCTCTGTTTGCCCCGGGTGCCGTCCTCCTTACTATCGGGTAGCTGTAGCCTGTAGCTGTTGCTCTTTCCACCCTTTGCTGCCAAAAGGCTGCCCACATGCAGTCATTCTGCTGGAGACCCTTTTAAAAACCAAATGCCTTTTGCGGGCAGTCAGATCTGCCTTATAACTTGCTTACCTCGTTATGGTGGATTTGTTTCAGGCTGGGTGCGTTTTAGCCCGAAGAAGTTAAGATTAAGGAGAGACGGAGCTGCCACCTTCAGATCTCTAAGGGGGCTGGCAGGCAAAAGATGGGGCAGACGCAATCTCCGGAGGGCAGGACTTAAAACTAGCCGGGTGGAAATCACAGGGAAGCAAATTTCAGCTGAACATTTGGAGAAACTTCCTAATGGCAACAGCTGTCTGACAGTAGAGGTGTTTATGCTAAGGTTGCCAGATGTTTTTCCATGAATCCGGGGACACTTTAAATAAATAAATAATTAAACAAATAAATAAACAAATAAATACTACACGTTTGGGACGTTGATGCTGCAGTGATGGTGGTGGCAGAGGGGCAGTCGCCACCTTGACCTCAACCGCCACGTTTCCCCTTCCTCTGAGGCTTCTATCTCCTTTCTCCATGAGCCTGGGCAGCTCCTGAGTTGTTGGTTCTTCGGTGGTGGTGGAGGTGGTGCGTGGTGGGTCAGGCATGGAAGGCAGAGAAGGAGGGCTGAGAGCAGTCGTGGCGGCGAGGCTCGAGCAGCGCAATGCCTCCCTTCCCATCGGAGCAGCCCCAATGCCATTCCTACTTGCGTGCAAGCAGGAGGGCTTGGGGATCCCTCAGCTGGGAAGGGAGGCTTCCCGTTGCCTAACTGAGAGATCCCTGCCCCCTCCTGCTTGCACACAAGCTCTGATAGCGTGAAGCCTCCCTTTACAGCTGAAAAATCCCTGCTCCTGCTTGCATGCAAGTAGGAGTTGGGCGGCTGCTCTGATAGGCAGCATGAAGCCTCCCTTCACAGCTTAGTTGCTGGGGTCAGGGAAGGTGGAGGCAGCCCGGAAGCTGCATCTTTGAGCCCCTGCACCACCATCATATGGGGACTTCTGAGCAGCTCCTGAAGCCAGCCAGACCCAACTGCTCCAGGCTTCTGAGACTGCCGCTGCTGCATTTCCCGGGGACATTAGATGAAATCCGGGGACATTCCAGGGATGGAATTTGTCCGGGGACTTATTCGCAAATCTGGGGACTGTCCCCGGGAAACAGGGACATCTGGTAACCCTAGTTTATGCAAATACTGGGATTGGGTGGATGTGGTTCAAGGACAGGAATCTGGTGTTTTCCTGTTCATCCCTTGGCTCTTTCCCCAGGTGACACCACACCATCACGCCACACCCCTCATTAGCCTTCCTTGAGAGCTTCTGCTGTCTGGGCTGTGTCCTTGAACAGTGATGGTGCTTCTCCCTTAAAAGCACAGAATTGCAGAGTTGGAAGGGACCCATATGGTCATCTAGTCCAACCCCCTGCAATGCCTGTGTGGAGGTGGAGGTAGGTGGGATCCTCTGCCTTTTCCATGCCTGGAACGTAGTCTTCCGAACAACAGTAAGAGTCGCATCCTTTGGCCAGGCCACTTCTGTTCCTGGCCCCACTCACTTCTGGCAAGCGGCCCCTGGCAAGCTCGCCACGAGAGAATGTGGCCTCCTCCCTGGCTGTAGCTACAATCTCGCACTAGACCTCCAATGAAGCAGTTTGACTAGGGGACCTCCATATTCCCTTCCAGCGCTATGCATCTGCGAGGAGCTCCTTACACACAGCCTTGCCTTGGCCGCTCTTGGTTGCTAAAAGCGGCGTTTATTCCTCCGACAAGTGGCTGTATTTTTACAGCTCTTACAAGTACGCTAAATGCATCGCTTCCTTGCACATCCAGGAGGGAATTTAAGTCATCTGAGGTAGTGTGTCTTTTGTCAAAAAGGAAAAAATAAAAGAAAAAACTGTGTGTTTTCAAGGCCTCTGCCTCTGCCAGCTTCAGAGTCTTGGCCTCTTTGTAACCAGCAGGGTATTCCCGTGAAACTTAAGTGAGAGAGAGAGAAACTGCCAGAGGTTTTGTTTTCTCAGTTGGGAGGAGAGTCTGTTATCAAATGGGGTTTGGGCTGCACCATGGGGTGGGTCAAGCCCAGCAGCAGGATGACTCTGACTCCTGAGGAGATGGCAGATCCAAGTGGTCAGGGGAGATTGTACAACAGCAGGCCTCGTGTGCTCCCATGAGCATGAAGATTTATTAGTACAGTGGTACCTCAGGTTAAGTACTTAATTCATTCCGGAGGTCTGTTCTTAACCTGAAACTGTTCTTAACCTGAGGTACCACTGCAGCTAATAGGGCCTCCCGCTGCTGCCGTGCAGCCAGAGCATGATTTCTGTTCTCATCCTGAAGCAAAGTTCTTAACCCGAGGTACTATTTCTGGGTTAGCGGAGTTTGTAGCCTGAAGCGCCTGTAACCCGAGGTATCACTGTAGTAGTAGTAGTAGTAGTAATAATAATAATAATAATAATAATAATAATATATTATTTATACCCTGCCCATCTGGCTGGGTTTCCCCAGCCACTCTGGACGGCTTCCGACAGAACACTAAAATACAATAACCTATTAAACATTAAAAGCTTCCCTAAACAGGGCTGCCTTCAGATGTCTTCTAAAAGTTTGGTAGTTGTTTTTCTCGTTGACATCTGGTGGGTGGGCATTCCACAGGGCGGGTGCCACTACCGAGAAGGCCCTCTGCCTGGTTCCCTGTAACTTGGCATCTCACAGTGAGGGAACCGCCAGAAGGACCTCAGTAGTTGTAGTATACCTCATACCTCATAACGATGCTCAAAAAAATTGATCTTCACAAATCCAGATACAAACTGTTCTGAGCTTCTCCTCCCAGAAAAATATGTGGGTTAGGAAGACCATGTTGTCCACCGATTGCAACATTCCCCAAATGTTCGGACTCGGTTGCTAGCTCAAAACCCACAACCCAATGCATGTTGAAACATGTGTTCCAAAAGAAATGCATTTAGAAATATATATTTTGAGACAAAAAAAATACCCTTTTCCCCCCAAATGCCTGTATGAATGTGAATTTTCAAGGATCGTATACCAGAAATAGATGGTCTGTGCACCACACATGTGTCTTGCACTTGCGGAACCTGCCAAAGCAGGAAGGCACATATTGGATGAAGACCCTCCGGGGTTGTTATCCCAAGGTAGCAATCCCTTTCCACATGAATGAGGACATCTGGGGTATTTCTGTTGGCCGACCCGCAAGTCACTATGCATCTCCATGAAATGTTACATTCCACTTGTTTCTTATTTTACAAGAAGTCATGGAATCATAGAACTGCAGATGTCTAGGGATGCGAAAGAGAGGTAAGCCAAGAGTCTCTGATCTTGCCTGGGGCAGTCACCTCTCTATCGATTCACTTCCTCCTCTGATTCACCTCCTGGCTGTGCGAGCCAGATGTTGTCGGACTTCAGTGCCCCGGCCAGCTTGGCCAATGTGAGCAAATTGCCTCGTTTTAACTCTCCAGAGTGTAAACAGGCTCAGAGAGGACCAAATTCCTCTTCCTCACCATTGCTTGACCTCTCTGGCGAGGACAGGAGCATATGGAGAGCTAAAGCCCCTGACCGCACTCCCAGGTCAGGATTTCTGGGCAGTTTTCTGTGCTTGACAGTTTCGCATCCTACTGCCAATGAGCTCCTCTTCTCCTTCATAGACCCCTGCTGTTGGCTGCCAGTTCGTTTCCGGGTTTAATTTAAGGTGCTCTTGCTAGCCCTAAGACCCCCTTCCTTCCTTACAGACCCTCTTGGGTGTTCAGAGAGGGCCTTCTTGGTACTTAGACTTCTTTCAGAAATTCAGGGGTAGTGGTGAACCAAGAGAGGGCCTTCTCTGCAGCAGCCCCTCAGTTGTGGAATTCCTTCCCCACAGAAGTGCATCTGGCACCCTCGCTATAAAGCTTTTGGCAAATGTTGAAGATTGTCAGGGACTGGCTGGATGACAAGCAGTGGTGGGAGACGCCAGCAGGGGAAACCCCAGGGGAGGATGACTCAGAGCCCAGGGATTGGTGGTAGGACACTGAGGAGAGGCCAGAGGGAGAAGAGTGGGATGCTGAACAGGCAACAGAGCAGGGAGAGCCTGTGGCAGGCAGCAGTTCAGACTCAGAGGCTGAAGCAGAGGAGGCAAAAGGCTGCAGAAGAATCCAGGGAGTCTCCCTCTCCTACTGCGACAAGCTCGTCTTCCCCCTTGATTCCAAGGATGTGCAGGGAGATGCATAGGGCAGAACAAAGATCAGATACAGACTGAGACTGCTTGGGAAACATCTGGCAGAGGAGGAGCCTTAGGGGTATAGAAGGCAGGGACCATCAGTCCAGACAGCTGCTCCATAGGGGCAAAACCTATGGGGAAGTGTTGCTGCATGTATGTTGTTGCCTTGAATAAAAGTTTACGTCTTCTTCATGCTGACCTGCATCTGAACCCAGCCCTGACACAGGTGTGCCTCTTTACCCTGACTTTTGACACCTGAGAGGTGTATTTTCAGGACTCACTTTTTTCCTGTGACACTAATTTGTTCCAACTGCTTTTAAGTCTGAATTTTAAATTACTGTAATGCTCTTTGTCATCTGTGGGTAAAATATATTGTTTGGTGGCAGCAGCACCTGTGTGTGGGGAAGGCAGATTGAGAAACAGCTGTAATGAGAAGCTACTGAGAGCCTTATCCATGAGAGAGCCACTGGGGTACAGTGGTTAGGGTGTCAGACTAGGACCTGGGAGAACAGGGTTCAAATCCCGACTCAGCCATGACTCTCACTGGTGACCTTGGAAACCAGTCACTGCATCTCAGTCCAGCCTACCTCGCAGGTTTGCTGTATGCCCCCTTGAGCTCCTTGGAGGTAAATGTGGGATATAAATACAATTATAACAACAACCACAACCACAACCCAGGAAATGGGGCAGTAAGAGCACCCTACTGCCCAGGCCCTGTCCTGCTATCAGGCATTGCTCACACTTTGGGGGAAAGGCCTGACTCCGATCTGCATTGTATTTAAAGCTATGCCGATCTCCATGTGAATGAAATATGCAGAAGGGCAGCTCCAGGAAATTGGATCTGACTCGCAGCCATGCTGGAGAGTGGCACGCGGCAAATTGATTCTGAACCCCACTTTGCCATCACCTTGCAGCGAAGCCTGCAGTGAGGCCGCCGCGGGGAAAGTCTCCGTGATGGAAATGAGGTCCCTAATTAAAGGGCGACTCATATCGCAGGAGCAGGAGGGTGGCTCTTGGGCCGCTGCTGCCGAATGCCGCTAGGTGGCTGTTTGCAGCAGGAAGCTTTTGGGTACTCTGCACTTCAGGCAAATTGCAAAGCAACTCCCCTCATTCCTGTAGCTTAGCTAGTCTTTAAACCAGGGGTAGGCAACCTAAGGCCCGTGGGCTGGATGCGGCCCAATCGCTTTCTCAATCCGGCCTGCAGGCGGTCTGGGAATCAGCGTGTTTTTACGTGAGTAGAATGTGTCCTTTTGTTTAAAATGCATCTCTGGGTTATTTGTGGGGCATAGGAATTCGTTCATTCCCCCCCCCAAAAAAATATAGTCCGGCCCACCACATGGTCTGAGGGACGGTGGACCGGCCCACAGCTAAAAAAGGTTGCTGACCCCTGCTATATCGGCAGGTGTCCCTTATTATTATTTGCATATGTGTGTGTGTGTGTGTGTGTGTAGAAAAACTAGACATCGAGCGTTTCCCTTCCAAAAAGGAGTTGCTCGAAGTGGCCCACAAGATATTAATAAAAATATAACCTATCACTAAAACAGGGGGGAAACAGTCATGATATTAATGCTGCCTCAAAAAAACCAGAAAAGGTTATGAAGATGACAGCCAGACAGAGCTAACAATGAATACATCACATCTAGCAGCAACGCTATGAAACGCTATGAAAGCCTTGAGTAATAAGCAGACAGGAACAGG